CCTACGGGCTCGTCCTACGGGCTCGTCCTACGCCCTACGGTGTCGTCCTACGCCCTACGGGCTCGTCCTACGCCCTACGGTGTCGTCCTACGCCCTACGGGGTCGTCCTACGCCCTACGGGCTCGTCCTACGCCTTACGGGGTCGTCAAAATATGGCACAACTCGTAAAAATACTCAGCTACAAAACAAAACGTCTAATAACTGATATATTCATTAACGTATTTATTGTAGGTATAAAAGCAATCTACCAAGTTTCAATTGGGAAAAGAAATATTTTCAACAAAACTTTTCAGTGAGGAATAGACTCGCCTTTGAAAAATTGACGGGTGTTATTTTTTGCTTTTTAAAATCGTGATCAAAGAGTTTGGGTGCCAAATTAATTGAGTTTAAATTAGTTTAAATTACTAAACGACATAATGGTTCTTTGGCAAATATTATCTGCGATCCCTTCAAAGTGACAGAGTAGATACAGCTTTCAAGAATCGTACTCACCAAACAGGGCCTGTATCTGTTGAATATCATCCCTGCTTAGCTTATAGTCCGGCAGATAACCTTTGTACCAGGGGTACATGATGGACTCCTGATTGCTGGAGTGATTCAGACCCATAATATGTCCAAGCAGATGAGCTGCCACCCAGTCTAAGTTGATGCCCTTGACTGTTCCAGTGGTGAAAGTTTCATCGTCGTCAAAATGGATCTCAACAGGGGAATCTACAAGCGGAAAAAGGCAATGGACGAAGAAATAGTTTTAAATCGTCTTAATCCTCTTAAGGCTCAATTCCGGATACCACAATGACTACAGTCGTAACAGCCACAAATCTAAGGAGCTGCTTTTATTAACTCACTAACTATTTGTTCCTTATAAGATTAAATTAGGCCATCTTCGCTCATGTTTGAGAATATAGGGGAAATCAACCCTGGACCTTCACCGGACTCTGATTGGCCAGTTCTCTTTGGTTTCCTCCAGGTGATGTTATTCTTAGTGAGTTCGTATTGGACACCAATGTTCTTTAGAAACAATTTCAAAATTCTCAAACCGTTTGGTTTGACTCGAGTGACAAATAATGGGACATTTCATAAAAGAATTTACTGAGCCTAAGCTAGTGAATCCGAAAAAAAGGAAGAAATTCAAAAGTCGATTAATTGGCCACTTTCTGGTAAGGGGGACAAAATGTGGGCATTAAATTCTTTTTCGGATAAGTTGATTTTAAAAACCTGATCTTAAGTTGTTGGCTTTCTCATTAATTATCGCCGGGGGAGGGGAGGAAGTGGGGGAAGGATTTTGGTTGCGTCACAACAAAATTTACCTGACATCCCATAAGGCTCTGCAATACTTTTATGACCCCCCTCTCCCCCCCTCGTTGGTTGGTCATTGATAGTCAGTTCCCTCTGTTAGCGGCCACTAATCTCTCCTAAGTTATTCATGAAAACCATGGAAAAATTCTCCGCCCCCTCCCTAAGGGATAAACCGCCCCCAGGGGATTAACAACTCCTTCCCCAGGGAATAAACCCCACCTCTAGGGGATAAATCGCACCCTTCCCAGGGGGTAAACAATGACTGGTCGTTCATTACCCAGAGAAAAAAGAAAGGTTTTTCCTACCCTTGCTGGAATTTGGATAAAACACATGTCCGAATGTTCCGCCTTTTCCATCAAATGGAGAGGGGTCACCATGGTTTCCTTTCAAAAATCGTACAAGAACTCGGCCTTTTGGGTCGGCTTGAGTCGAGCGCTTAGTGATTCGGCATCTTGTTCCGGCGGGAACATAATTTGCCAACCGTCCCAACATTCTGCTCAGCATTGAAATTTGCCCCGCAGCAGATCTTCGGTGGAACATAATTGTGAAGATCATTTGCTGAAATGATAAAGAAATTATTTACCGGACATAAGGGACCCGTCGACATTTTATATTACCTTGTGGAAGGTAAGGGGGGGGGGAGGTTGAGGGATTTTTGTTGAGTCACGATAAAATGTCCCCCCTCCATTTTGGCCTCCACCCCCCTTGTTCCCCCTCCCCCGTTGCCGGTGCAATTTTCTATAGTTTCCCCTTTATACTCTGTTGGCGATGACTGATACCCCTCCGTTCATTTTGAAAACCATGCCCCCTCCCCCGCTAAAAAGATTTTTGTCCCCCCCAGACAATAAATAACCTGTGATTAAATGATTTCTTGTCACGTGATCTACGATTGTGTTATGAAGTGAAGGGTCCTGGAACCTAACCCCTCTGTCCTTATGTATGTTCGTCTTTCGGTTTATTTTTGCAACTCACGTACCCTTCGAGCTTCACAAAACAGGTCCACGTAGTTTTGAAAGTAAACAAAACGTTTGTTTCTTCCCTTTGCCTCTCCATATCGGTGTGGCTTGTCGTTGTACTCCACATTTCCACATCGAGGAATAACAATCAGTTTTTTGGTGTCGAAATCCAATTCCCCGGTGACACTTAACCCAGCCATGCGCTGTACCTCTGAGATCATTTAGGTGAAGTTGTTGTCATGTCCTGGTTTCCAAACCTTGTACTTTTTCATCCATTCCTAAAAATGGGTTTAAAAATTCGGATGATTTTGAAGAGTTAGGTTGAATATAGACCATGGCTCAGTTTACGCCAGACATGTCAGTTTTTCAAGGGTAGTGGTTGGGTTGTTATTAAATTAGCGCGTTGATCGAGAGATAGAAAACACCAACACCGTTCGATATCAATTAATTTGCTGACAGGCTGAGCACGAATCAAAATGAAAACCCGTGGAACTTGGTTGGAATTTATATCAGTCAAAACCTGGCTGAGAATGTCATAGAACAGTTACCTGTTAGAGGACATACAAAATCCAGGTTTTGCTCTTGTTTTAGTGGGAAACAGTTTTCCAGTTGAAACGTGGTGTTGTGGTGTTATCATGTTGACCTCTAAAAAGAGTTGGTTAATTTGCGTCGAAAAATTCTGACTTTAATTTTCGCTAGTTTTAATTAAGTTTTTTTTTTTTTTTCATATTTGTTTGCAGTTATCACCTGATGTTACCACTTTGTTGGCAAGGACCGCTGTCGAATAAATCTGGTTTAAGTGCACAGTGTACTTCATCGAAAGTGAAACAGGCTCTAAGATATTTGTCGAATGATCTCAAAAGAGCGGCGCTCTCAACGATCAGAACCTTTGTACCGTTTCTGTTTCGTTCAACAGAATTTTGCATTCGTTATGGTTTCATCGGTGATTTGCTCCAAATTTGGCAGATAACTCGTGATAAACTCTTAAAAGATAACTTTTTTCGAGTCTCTTATCAGGAGTTGAAAGTGTTATGGAAGTGACTTAATCAACCCGTGCAATCAAAACTCTAAATGTTTTCTAATTTACAAACTTTAAAGCGCGCTTTGGCTACATTTAAGGGCCAAAATATCTTGGAATTGTAATACACGACGATTGCACAAAACTTTACAGATGCTTTTCTTTGATTCGTGAGCTAGCAAAGCACAACCGACCGTATGAACCAAAGATATCATAGGATCATTTTCTTGGAGGTGATCTCAGATGGAGATAATGATGTTTGTCCGATCTGTTTTTAATTGCAGGACAGATGCCTTGATTCCTTTTAGGATCGTCCACTGTCTTTACGGGTTCCGAGAATAAATCAAAGTCCAAAGAAAGAGATTTCAATTCCAGAGAGACTGCAAACGACTTCTAGATCCTCAAAGCTGTCTGGTTTGAATTTTTTTCCATGCTACTAATTGTTCAAAAATTTACTCTTTGAAACAACACAAAATAATCTGGTGTGAAATTTACAACATTAGGGATTTTAGACGATCAGGACGAAAACTGCTCGGAGGACGTTGATTTAAAAATAAATTTATGTTAAAGTCGAGATTTCGTCCCTAACGGCGCCACACCTCAACTCCAGCATACGTATGTGAGCCGCTTCGGGTTTCAAATGGAAAATCGAACGATTTGCCGTCGCGGTTTCTGTTCTCGGGCTACGTAAATTTTGGCGATTTCACATTGCTGTTTTGCAGAAGATGGCTAGGCGATGAGCAGAGTTTCAAAACACACGTGCTGAACTATTGTTCTGCCCATTTAATTGAAGTTCTCGTTGCCGTCGTCTACGTGGTTTCCTAAAGATATCCTAACAATATCTTACCAGAGCTGTTTCGTATGTGACTGAATCAACGACTTCTTTGGACGGTTTGCTCGAGTCAGCCAACGGAAGTGGTGCTCCCAAGGCACATCCACTGCACCAAATGCTAACCAGCAAAGCAGCAGCGATGACAACCCACTTAAAGCTAAAACCTCGGATTTTCATCGAAGTAGTCACGGAACTCATCATTCTCTCAACAGGGCCAATTGCGCTAAGATTAAAAGTCGCAGAGACTATAAGTACTAATCTTAACCTTACTTACTGCGTTGCAAGTTACAACTGAAGCCTTAAAACTTACAAATGAAGCGAGAAGAAACCAATAACGAAGAAAGTCTGGGGAGATCTGCGAGCAGGCACTCCAAACAACAGAAGTACTTCTGAAGAATGACATCTGTAGCGCGGAGCCCTTTATATCTTTCTGGATAGAGATATCTAATGAAAACATCTGATTCAAGTTTAGTTTTTTTTTTAATCGTGCCAAAGCTCCGTTAAAAAAAATTCAGGTTATCGGCGACAAAACACAAAGTGTGCTTTGTTTTCTGATTTTGAACAGGGCAGAAATGTTGACCGCTAACAAAGTCGCAAACCATGGTTGGTTTTAAACCTCCCTTCTCCTCCCAGTGGTAGCTTACTAAGGTACGGCTTTTCAGCGGGGTACTTCACTTAGCTTGAATAAAATGTTCTCCTGGGAAAGACATAGTGGTCTGCATACCACTAGAAAGTGAGGTTTATAGGCTTTTTCAATTGGTTGGTGAGGGATATCTAGAACGGTGATGCGTTTAAGCGCTTTAAGTTTTCCTCGCCTAATTCTAATTTAGGGAAACAGCAATGGTGCAGTGTTGAACGCGCTCGCCTCACACCACTGTGGCGTGGGTTCCATTCCCGGACTCGGTGTCAGATGTGGTTTGAGTTTGTTGTTGGTTCTTGTCCTTGCTCCGTGAGTTTTCTCCGGGGTCCTCTGGTTTTCCTCTCAAATATTCTAAATTCCAACAGTGGACAAGAAAAGCCACCTAGTGGAATGTCCACTGCTACATATCATTTATCAATTATCTATCATTCATTTATCATCGTTATTAATATTAACAGTTCGCAAGTGAAGAGGAGATGGAGGTGAGAGAAAATATCAACACAAAAATAATGAATTGATCCGACATGGCATTCTTTATATCTTATTGCCTGGAGGTGTATTGATCTTCGTTAGGAAGATGTAAACTCAAGGCCTTTGCAGTCAATAGAGGACTAATACCAACGCTCGACTACCATTTTACTGGAAATGGATGGGGGAAAAGGTATGGCACGGTGTAGGAGGCACGTAGTAAGTAACTTGTGATCAAAAATCGTTGTCTTTTTTTTTTCCAATAGCAACGCAAGAATCAGCGGTCGGTAACTCTTGCGCAGCTACACTGTAACGCTCATCCGGAAAAAGAGAACGCCTAATCGTAGATTAGGTAGCAAGGAGGTTTGCTTTTATTATTAGGAATAGAAGGAATACGAGTGGAATAGATGAAATTGTTTCGTACTTCTGAAAGGAATAATATACACACTGTTCTTTAAAACAGTTGGGGTCTCCGAAAAAACGATCATAAACCAGCGCCGTTACGTTACTCACCTCTACGTTCAGGGTTCTTGAAAATTACTGCAACAAAAGAAAGCGACGGCAACAACTCTGGACAATTGTTTTTATTACTTTTTTTTAATTTTAGGTACAAAGTTCTTTGTTTATAAGATAATTTTCAAGCGATTGTCTTTTTTTTCCCGACCCATATAAATAGAAATTTTGCATATTTTCAAAAAAGAATGATTTTCCTTGGTAAATATAAAGAGTTATTTTTGCAATTTAACAATTCACCGCGCTATACCACAACTTCAATCAACCTCGGTCAAAACAAACGGATCAACATTAGGCCCCTATTGAAGACAAAGACAATTGAAGCAACCCGTGCACGCTTTGAACATGCACCAGTTCTCCCTTAATGGCGTCATCATAATACATATTAAATACTCATCTTTTCTTTTTTTTTTTACGACGGTCGTTATTAGCATTTGATCAGTCAAGCTCCTAAAACGGAGGACCATGGTTAGATACAAGAAACTGCAGCAGAAGCCCACGTTTACAGTTAAAAGCCGGTTCCCAGAAAACATTTGTTAACCCTTTAACCTCCGTAGGTGACCAAGACAGAACTTCTACTTACTTAGTTCTTATTAACCGAGCGGGAGGTCTGTACGGTAGAATCTTGACCGAGGTCGCCAATACAGACCGAACACAGTGAGGTCTGTACCAGTGACCAAGGTCAAGATTCTCCCATACAGTCCGACCTAGCTCGGTTAATAAGATGTTTATTATATGGCTGTGTCTTATAGGCCAATTTTTTATATTCTTTGTACCTTTTTTTTTCTAGACCGGTCGAGATGGGAAAATCTAGACCGCTTTCAATATTGATTTCAGCCAATCAACTTCGTGAATTCGGTAGTTCCCAGTCCTTTTGAGACACAGCCATATAGAGGGTTTTAGTTGATCCAATACCAAATTCTCCAAACTAGCATCGCGAGAACTGTATGGCAGACAGCAAGGGGACTTGGTAGTGAGCGCGACGAAAGCCCCGGATGTTTATTAAAAAAAAGGAAATAAAATAGGTAGGGCTTTTGTTTTTCTTTGTAAGATATCATTCCCTTGGTATGCGCCTTGCCGCACGTTTAGGGAATGTGCAGCGTAGTCTCTACCACCCTGAGTGGGGGTTGATTTCTATTGCACTACAAACTTCGTATTTTGGTTGGTATTGTGTTTACTCAGATTTAAAAAAAAAAAAAAGCTTTATCTGTCCTGACTAGTTCGTGTTAGCGTAGATGGGTAAACTCTGCCATATTTCAACCTGCTTGTTATGAACTGTTTTTGTTTTTGTTGTTGTCTTGCATGCGGGTCTTTAACGCCAAGGCCTCTAAGTTACCTAGTCTGCACCTTTAAACGCAGTTTAACTTCTTATCTCTGCAATGAATCATTAACCTACTTCAAATAAGAATGGAACAAACCAGATTTGGATCGCTGGCTCGTCAAAATGTTAATAAATATAATCACATTAATTTTAAGATATAAATAAAAATTATATGTTGGATTCCCTGGTATTTTCTAGTTTCTTAACTAGTTCGTCGACATTATGATGTTTAAAAGAGATGATTGAACCAAAAGGGGACGTTGGTCTTTTCAAGCTCTTGTCGGCCTCTTTCTTTTTCTTGGGTTCTTTTGAGGTTTTTTTGTCGTTATCTATGTCGAGTCTTCGGTAGTTCTCGTGGAAGCCCAGTAGTATCGGAATGCAGCCCGCGCATGCTCCAAACATACACCAGTTCATCCATTCGGTTCCTGAGGATGGAAGACAAGCGATGAATTGGGTCAGAATGCTCATCGGATATTCCCATATCTGTTGCTGAATTAGTAATAAACTCAAAGGAAATCGCAATAAACAGGTCCCATACGGCACAAAAATGAGACAAAACAGTACGGGAAAGACTGTGAAGGAAAAAAAAAAAAATCAAGACTCCGGCAGAGAGCGTGGTGATTAGCTCAGCTATTTCTTCTTTCCCAACATGTTGTAATGACACCCAGCTGGTATCCAGAAGAAACGTGTTCAATTCCCTTCGAAGCCTGATTTTTCAGACTTCCTTTACTGCAATGACTTCAAATGCAGTTGCCTTGTGAAGATGAATTTAAAAATTAACAAATTTTCCTTCTTTCAAGTTTCCTTACCGACTTTAGGCACCATCAAGACGAGCAAGAAGATAACAGTGAAGGTGTTGTTAATAAGAGTTAGAGCTCCTGTGGTGACTCCTTCAGCTACTGGGTAAGTGGACTCTACTGTCAGCTCATAGAACAGAGGAATGGTACCACTGATGAAAAATCCTCCTAAAATACTCGACTTGTACAAGGCAGCTGAAATATGAAAAGAGATAAGTATGTTTTTTAAAACCATTTCCATAAGATTCCCTAGATCGTTCCTTCGCCCTCGTTCAGAAGATCTTCCTTCATGGCTGTTAGTAAACCTTAGGCGTCATTCCGGACTCTTGACATCCTCCTGGTCTGGGAAACGACCAGTTTGAAAATGATTGCTCAAGGTACTCTTGCAGCAACACCGGCCTCTAAAAACTAACCCTAATGGTCAGTGCGGGTCGAGAGGCCTGGATTCGAGCCCCGTCTCGGGTCAGTGTGTTGTGTCCTTGGGCAAAACAGTTTACTTTCACAGTGCCTCACACCGCTCAAGAGTATGAATGGAAATAGGCGAATCGTACGGAAAGCCTTATGAATTACGGAGGGGGGTAACCTTGCGATAGACTAGCATCTCATCCGGGGGGAGTAGTAGTACTTCTTATCACTTTATGCTCAGGAAAATTAGGATAAGCTCCGGCTGGATTGGACACCTGGCTCGAGTACAGACTTTACCTTTACCCAACCGCTATCGATATCAAAACTCGTCTGTTAAAATTAAATACAAAACTGGTACAACATTTGGCATAGGGGAAGAACTGGTAGGGCCGCACAACTGTACTATTGTCCTTGTAGTAAACTGAGCTCTTCATTCCAAATAAATTTCATATGCATTCTTTAACAGACAAAGCTTTCACGCTTTTCGTCCTTACCGTCATCATATGCTATCATTCTCAGACAAAGAAGTGAGAACCACAGGAAACAACCCGAGGCTCCGAAGAACAGAACGAGCAGGAGAAGTTTCATTTTGCCGCCAAACAGATCTGCGCACCTCGCCAGGATTAAACCTGCTCCGATACCAGCTAATGTAGCGTAAAAACCGATCCAACCTGCCTCGTGCTGAAAGAAAATTAAAAAAAGAATTCGTAAATCAAATGTGAAAAACCCGCTGGCGTGATGTCTGGCGCACTGATTAAAACTCCGCGTTTCGCCAAGGTCACTGGGTAGACATTTCTCTTAATGTGCCTCTCTATACTCGGGAGAATTAATGCATACCTGCGATGGAATGGCATTCCACCTTAGAGGGGGAGCATATCCACATGGAATTTGCGCACTACAAATGCTGTATTATTATTATTATTATTATTATTAATGCCCCTAGTCACTCCACGCAAAGAAAACTGGGTAAGCGCGGGAGGTTTATGCCACATGATTAGTTGTGTGAGGCCTTGACAAGACCTGTTAATCAGCGATATTTTGTTTTAATAAACGTCTGTGTTAACGTAAATATTTCGATGTCATTCTGTTCGCCGGGTCTGAAACCAATGACCATCATAAAGATGGGTAGATCGATAGCTTACTAATCTATCAGTTTTGTGAGCGCTTTACAGCGATGAAAGGCAAAGCAGCGAGTGGAAGCTTTATTTCTCTTTTCATCCCAAACCTCTCGCAGCTTCGCCGCACTCGTTTTCACAGCTCCGCTACCTGACGCAGTGAAGCGCACACAAAGGTGCCGGCTCACGGAGATTGGGAAATGGACTCACAAAACGCTCTGACCACCATGAACTCACCTGTCCGATGGAGAAGGTCTCTAGGTTAACTGCTAACGAGGCGCCCCAACCACTGTACACACCTACATTTGGAAGCAAAGACAGGTCATTACATCACGTTTTATGATTGACGGCGTGAAATTCATATCTTGAGTTTTTCGGTAGTTACTAGTTTTTCAAAGAGAACACAAAACATGAAGTAAAAACAATTACTTTTAACCACCCTCGGTCAGTAAGGAGTGACAAAGACTATCCTCAAGTGCGTTAATAGTTTTAACCAGTACCCGTTATGTAAATGGGGTTAGTTCAGAGACTGTGTAGATTTTCTTGTCACGGTATTTTAGTGACAAGCTTGGTAAAACATTACTAACTGATGAGAGAACACTCTGAGAAATTTTTGGTCAAGCTCTTATTTCAAACACTATCACAGTCGGACACAGGAATCCCTAGGTCCTTTATAAGAGACGTCTTTTACACGATAAGGGTTTTGTACTTACCAGTTGTGACTCCGTAAATCAGCGCAAGAGTCCAGAACTGCTTGTTCCTGTGTCATAGACAAATAATAAGTTTTATCCGAAGACCTAAAGTTCAGCGCTCGTTGAATATCCACGACTCTTTATGGAACTGAGTTTTTCATTTAGTACTTCCGGAATGCTCAAGTAAAAATGATCGACTCTTAGATGAACAGTCCTCGACGGGGCCCAAATATAATTAGCGGAGGATGGAAGTTTTTGGCAAGCTAAGTGAAGGGAGCACATGAAAACTTGCAACGTGCGCGACTACAAGAAGGGGCTAAACGCTCGCGCGAAGATTGGGGCACAGAAAAATATGAGCGGAGTGCAAGTGGAAAAGGATAAATGCGAAAACAGAGCGTAGTGTAGGGCTTAACCCCTTACATCAGTATGCGTATTCTCCATACTGTCCTCTGTACATTTCCTGAGGTGCTGTAAAGGAGAACTGGTTTATCACTCTAAGGTTTTTTGGTTGGCGATCATTTCCTTTATTCTCGTGACCTTAATGAATGATTCAGGGCTTCTATTGTAGGGAGAAATTAGGTGCTGGTCACTCTTGGGAGTCAAAAGGCTGAGAGCCGCAACAATAAGAAAAGGGTGGTATCTCTTACTTAAATATCTGTTTGGCGCCGGCAAAGAAGTCCTCTCGCTTTCTCCTGGCTGATTTACTAGGCGGTAGAGGAGGCTTGTCTGGGAAGTACATACAGACTAACAGGGAAAGAAACAGGACCACGCCACATTCTGTAAAAATGAAAAAAAAGTAAAAAGAAAATAAATAAATAAAATTAGCAGATGTACAAGATGGGTTGATAAAAAAACAGCGATTTTGTAAACCGAAGGCAACTTACCAACATATAGTAACATCATGATTTCTTTTTTTCCGTCCTTGATTAGTCGTTGTTTAGCTGAAAACAAGAGAGAAGATAGGAATTAAATTAATAATAATAATAATAAAATGATAATGATAGTAAGAACAACTTAGTAGTAGTAGTAGATAACAAATAAGAGATGAAAACAAACTTCATGGCCAATGTTTTTAGTTTTTCCTGTTAGTTATCATGAACATAACAGTTCATTTCTGACGAAAATTCCAATTTTTAATTACAAAGATGAACACGTTTCGAAGAATAGGAGATTAGGACATAGCACTAGTGCCGAAACCAATAACGTGGTCGCTTAAAAGTTTCTTTTTCGCAGATTTAATCCTTAGAGTCAAAGTGTTAATACGTTGAGTCAAAACACACCTTCCTCTAAATCAGGAGTTATTCCAATGCCTACTGTTCGTTGATAGATGGCTTCGATTTCCCTGGGATGAAGCTTTCGTTCCCACACTGCCAACTCATCATACGCCGCTTTTGAAAAAGTCAAGTCATTATTTGGTCTTCCGAGTGTGAACATCGTGAAATAATCACTCTCGAGTTGAGTGGTTTTCCCCTTTGGGTCGCCACCCACATTAGAACCATTCGAGTATATCACCAGACCTTCACGCTCGTCCCACGTGAATGTCACGTGCGTCCAGTTGCTACGTGGCACGGAGAAGCTCCGTTTCCATAGCACTGTGCCGTTTTCTACTTTGATGGCTAAGTGGTCTTCCCTGTCGTAAGGAAAATCCTGATAAATCAGAAATCCTCTGAGACCATCTCTGTTTCCGCTGGTTCCCATAAAATATTGCAAACCATTTCTGTTCAAGACTTCGTATTTCATCCACAGGGCAACGGTGAAACCATCCGGGCACAAGGACGGGTCACTCACACAAGTGTTTATAAAACTACCAAGGTTTACCCAAGCACTTTTCCCATCGGTCATTAAACTCTGATGGACGACACCTTGTTCTGTGATGCACTCATTGAACAAAAACCCCTCCTTGTTCGTTTTAAATTCCCGGAGTCCTTTGTTGATTTGAACTCCCCAGTATTCGCCGGAATTTCGTAAATTGGAGCTATTTTCTTTCCTCTCTCTTCTGAGGGATTGAACATTTTGAACACTGATGTTCAGATTGTCCAAAGGCCAATAGTACATAGCATCTCGGTAAATGGATTCTAGAGGCCGACAAGAAAATCAAGTTATTGTAAAGAATGCTTCATTGGGCTACCAATGAGAAAGATGAGAAAAAATCATCGATTTTGAGTATTGAGGTTTCATCGTTTGTCGCACGATGTTAAGACTTCCGGTAAACATCGTGAAGTTTCGACTGCGCGCTGCAAGTTTCTTTCAGGCATCAAATAGTTCACAAGTCGAAAAGTTCACGGAATCACACTCAACCGTTCGACCTGATAGCGTTAAGAAGATTTGCAATCTGCAATGGAAACATCGAGATCCAATAATAGTGTACTCACCACGCTGAATAACCAGAATCTTTTTAACAACAATGAGAATGATGTAAGCCTTGAGTGCATTAGCAAGTTTCTTAAATCAGTTTTCTCCGATCAAGTTTTCTGAAACCAATGCTTTTAAGAGGTAAATATTGCAAGGAAAAACTTATCTCGTATAACCCTTGTTAGCTAGATGAATGACAGGGGCATTTTTCCTGGGAGGTGATGCAGACTTGGCGTAGCACAATATGGTTACCTTACATTTTAACACGAAACAGAAGGGAGACGCAAATATGCTGATTACAAATGTGTTGAGTTTTGTGGAAGACCAGTTACGTTTCTCACCTGAATATAAAGTGTTTTCATCCATGTACAAATCTAGAGTATCACTATAAAAATCAAATCAACAAAAAATATACTTAGAGGAAAATTAACTCAGTACCCAATAAATCTAGCACTTGAAGCGGTCGAGTGGGTTTCATTAACATTTTTCTTACGCGACGTCGTTGGTGTAATAGGGAGCTGCGCCGTAATGCGAAACCAAAACACGAGAGGCTGCTCGCGTTTGACTGCGGTGAACCAGACCAGCTTTTATTGAAACCATTCGCTCGATAAATTGCTTGAGAGCTTCCAACTATACAGGCGAAATGTTATTTAAAATCGACATGAACTTCCACCTATTTAGAACAAAGCGAATGGAGGTGTAGAGTGAAAGAAATGTTTAACTTAAGAACTCTACTTGGGGTTCATAAAAGCACAACTCAATGGACTAACGTATATAAAATAACATTCATCGACATTTCTTGGCCTGAATTCGACGCTGTCTTTTTTTTAGCTTTACAAATGAAAGCTTTTTTTTCTTTTTTAAAAGGATTACTAGTTACCTGAGATTCTTCGACACGTTGCCTCTGTCAGGTATTAGCCTTTCAAGTTCGTATTTGACATCTGTGACAACTAATGGGCCTATGACAAAAGATATGGCAACACCAAGCGACCCACACAACGCTGCGACCGCAGTTGAACTAGTCCGCTGCTCAGGTGGAAACCAAGTTGATGATAGGAGTGTGGGCGCAGCTTGAGCAACTGGACCCGCCAAACCATTCAAAAGTTGACCCGCACCCATGGACCTGAGCATAAAAAAATGAAATTATTTTAGTGACACTAAGCTGAACTCGTCGATATTCTGTCGATATACAGTGATTATGCCGAGAGCCAATGATCCCTTGATTCCGAAAACATATATAACTGAGCCGTTTTCCCTACAAGAGCCCTCTCCAATTTTTCCGTCATATTTAACTATCGGTTCACAATCTTCACTGAGTTGGGGATGCTTTGTGATCCAGCCGAGTTTGGAGCGCATATCTCTCGATCCACTCAGTAATCCAGCACGAGTCACGAGGCCATTGCGTCTCCTGCGTACCTCTTGGGAGACGATTAGTCGAGGGACCCGCCCGAGCGAACACCGAAATGATTCCCTTAAGGGCTGGAACCAGAAGCTCCAGGTCAGAAGTTCACCTTGCTACTGTCCCTGTGAGCCCTTTGTATCGTCCTAGAGTAAGTAGTGGTTATTAGAGAAATGCCTTATCTCCCTCAAAAGGGTAGTCTGTCCCAGGCGTTCTATAAGTAAAACGGAAACTAGAAAACATAGAAAAGGGCGTGACAGTGACGGCGGAGGCATGGGTCGGGTGGGGTAAAGAACCGACCCAGACCTCTATCGCTTTTTCACTCCTCGGCTACTATCGCGCCCTTAATGTTTCTCCCCGCTGTACTGACTGAACGCAAGAGCAGGCTATCAAAAGGGTAGCAACATACCAGTTTTTTTTTGCAACAAAAACTTTGTTACAAACTATTTTAGAAGACTAATTTGAAGATCTGATCACCCTGGATGAAAAAGGGCGAAATTGCTTGGTTTTTTTTTTTCGTGACTCATTATTCAGGTCATGACTCACAAACCACAGGGCGATTTTTATTTTATTTTATTTATTTTATTTTATTTTTTATTTCCCTTTAGCCAAAATCGAAAGAAAGTGCGAATTTGAGGTCAAACCTTACCAGATGGCGTAGGACGGTTTTGACGTCACACATCTTAAGGCTGTTCCAACTAACATGAACGCACAAGAAATAAGAACACTTCGTCTAAGCCCTGTCGATGAAAAGGAACCGGTGACTGTTAACATCAATCGGATAACAAAGAGCACACTGAGATCTATCTGCCATTGCTCCCAACGCGTGGATTCAGAATCCACCAGGCACGGGTTTAGACTCCGTAGAAGCATAAAATTTTCTACAATAGCACTATTTGCAGTTCGCTTTGAGGATCATTCTTTGGGATATCACACAACGCCACCTGTCCAAAATAAACGCTGCGCGACATCCTTAACCCCTTAACTTCCATAAGCGATTAGCTGTAACTGCTACCTATGAAATCCATACATAATCCAGAAAATTGGTTTGAAAATACTCAGACTTATTAGGTAGAAGCTGTTATCCTGATCTACCACTAAATTCTCGTACCGAATTTACAAGGACATATGTAGCAGCCAGAGGGAAGAATTATGGAAGTTTAGGGGTAAAGAACGGCTGCGTTGGAAACTACTGTTTTATTCAACATATCAATTGTGAAGAATTACCTTTCTTATCCATCAACCAAGAGAATAATAACATTGTGCATAAATAAGTGATAGGATCCATGCTGGCCAAGATGGCAATTTCCGTGTTCGTCCAATTGAAAACCATTTTAGCCGTTGTAGCGATAGGTCCATATGTGTTCCACGCGCAGTACTGGCTGAAACTTATCATGGAGAATAACATCAGGATATAGAAACGTCTTTTGTAGCTTTTAACCTCCACTAGGGAATCGTCTGAAAGATACAGTCCTTTGTCCTCTGTGAGGAGCACTCTATCGGATGAAAGGGATTCTTCAACACGTTCGGGTGAGCATCGCTGAAGATCTGCGGAAAAAGGGAGAAGAGCTTTGAGTATTTACATGCAGCTGGTTCAGTTAACACAAACCTCTGCTGTATGTAAAAAACATCTCACTCTTTTACTCTCAAATCTCATTAGCAATTCTCCATACTGTCTGCCAGACAATTCTAAAAGTTTCAGTTTAGAGAAGTTGGTATTGGATCAATTGATAATTCCCTAATCGACATTTTTCTTCTTTAGCATCACTTGTCCGCTTGATATCGCATCGAAATTGTAAGGAGGAATTCTGTCTTGGTCACTCATCGGAGTTTCGGGGTTAAGCTCGCCAACAAGAAATTTGTGGCTCAAATGAAACAACTACTCTAGAGAAATACACATTTTTCTTCGTCCAATACTCGCTTGTGACCAATTTTAGGCCTACAATTAATTCATCATCAAAATTACTATCGTCTGGTAAATCAACAAATTTCAAATAGCCATTTCAGTTTTGTGCACATTTTCTGCTAAAAGGTGGCGCCATGAGCTTGTTCGCAGTTAAAAGCCTTCGGTTGGACTTTGGTCATATTTGGAGGGCTGAAGTATTTTTTTTTTTGTACCTAAATAGTGGTGATTATGACTCGAGTTCGCATGCAGAGTGTGTCAAATCTGGTGGGCTAAACAACATAAGGGCCGTTTCAAAGGATGAGGCGGGCTAACTAGATTGGCCATACATGACAAATATAATGACTACCAGGCACTGCTATAAATACAATCATTACAGGACGATGAAGTTGTTTATTGCAAATAACAGTGTTAACTTTCTCGAAGAGGTAACTACGCCTGCAATTTCCAGGAGAGATTATGTTGTTTAGTGATAAGGCTTCCGTTCTCAGATTTTTACCACGAATTTGATTCCTCGACAAGAAAATATTTTCCTCGATTTTTTTTTCACATTTTTGCCACATAATCAGAATTGCAGGGGCTTTTGCGAAGAAACATCAATCGAACATTTTAGCCTCTTTCGAAAGTCTTTGGTTTTTCTGCGTCACGATTTGTCGCGTAGCGTTTCGTGACAACCAAAAAACTTCTGACAAATACTTGTCATTTTCCCGTTTTGATAATGAATTCAGTTTTTATGCTTACCTTGTCCGTGAGCATCCCTCTTGGGCTTATAATCTTCCCTTCTTACCCAAGGATCGTCCAGATCGACTTCCACTAATTCAGTCTCTTCTGGATCTAGAAATGATTTGCGGTCCTCGGATTTTGAGCTGGTCGGGTACATTTTGGAATCCCTGTCTGATGAAACCAGCACGGAGCCTGCGAGAGAGGAAACAAATTGAAAAATCAAAAATTTCCCTTTCGGAGACGGGTTGTAAATTCGGGGAATGACAGTTGTTTCTAGGTATTTTTAATGCTTACGGCAACTTTTCCAGTACGCCTCGGTGAGCCAGAATATTCTAACATGGAGCTTAAGTTAAGATGCTTCGAATGAACTTAAATTACGGGTACCAGTTAAAAATAAAATACCAAAATAACACTGTATGTAAAAAAATTGCCAGGTTTTACGAGACTTGCAAGGTCTTTCATTTCACGTTTGCATATACAACTTATCACCTAAAAAACTGTCATTCGAAAGCGACAAGCAACTAAAAACGCACCCAATTATTTGTTTGCCACACAAGCGATAAATATATCCTTTGAACGTTTAGATTTTAGCAGTCGCAACAAGCGCACGGAAGGGTGCTTGAACGCAATTTTACATGCTCGCAACGCTCTAAGAAAAGAAATAATAGAATTAATTCAAAAACGAAGGACGATCATCCTTTAAGAACGAGGATTATGCGGTGAAGATGTTGCATCATTCCTTTTCTTTCACGGTGAGATAAAAATAAACTGCACGGATAAATTGGAGTGATAAAATAATAAACTGTGCAGATGAATAAACTGGACAAATATCAAAATGATTTTTAAGTAGGTGAAAACAACTCATATGTTTGCACAAACTACTTCAACTAAGAAGTTTCATATCATTTTTTTACCATTTTCAAGGAAGCTTACTTAAGCAATTCATCGTCCAAAGTTCAAAACTTGAGATGCTAAAATTGCCGCATTACACTTCATTCTTATTCAAAAAACATGTTTGCTGTTACATCAATTCTTATTATGGATGTTTTTCGATCATGACAAATATGTATGGAACGGTATTCTCACTATTTTGGGCAGAAAACCTTTCCTTACATGCATGCAATTTTTTTCAGTCTTAAATTCGTTTCGAATCGGTGAAAAGAGCACAATCGGCATTTTAAAATTTCCAATTCAAAACCACGCAGTCCAAATTGTCACAAGTTAAATGAAACCGGCAATATTAAAGTTAGGAATTAGAGAAATGATTTAAGGGTTGCTAAAACGAATCCAACAGTTTTAAGAAAAAAAAGCTAGAATCTTAAATCAAGAATATTTACCCGATAGAATATTCCGGTTCTTTTACCAAATACGCCTTCGGAAGATTACAGGAAATCCATTGTCAAAAGCAAACTGTTTCTTAGCTGGTCATTGCCACAACGCTCCAACGCTTCGTAAATGTGCCCTGTAAAACTTTACCCAATAAATCTGATTCAAAACCTTCTTGCATTTGATGCACCAAGCGTACATTAATCTTGACAAAATTCTATAGATGGTTACTTGCGAAACAAAAGGTTCAGTTGTTTTTTACCTCAAAATATATATTTTTAGAAATTTGCATGTAATGGGCGAAACAGGATGTGAAAACAAAAGATGATTGACAGCAGTTGCGAGAAGAGCGTTTTAATTGGTGAATTCAACAAAGAGCGGGCTTTCCACGTGTGACCTGCGTGATGAAGCTTCTGATATTTTTGTCACGCGAACGATAGTCGTAATGTTTTTAAAAGTGAACATCGAATGTGCGGCGATCGTTCTCGAGAATCCACCAAAAACTCCGGCGAAATGAGTTCCTACGTGATTCTAGAAATGCTAGTTAATCAGTAAATCATTAATCGAATGATTTATTCTCGGCCTTGGCCTTACAGTGATCAATATCCAAGGACTGCTAAGAAAGGCGTTAATGAGATTGTGAACTGAGATAATTCTTGATCTAAGAGAAACGAATTTAATTAGAAAAGGATACCAGTCAGTTTTTAAGAAGAAAGGAGCCTCAGCATTTTGAATTTAATCTCAGTTAAGACCAAGTAAAAGATTTCTCATTTTTTTCAGCAACTGTCTTAATGATACTTAAGATTAAAAGTGCTTCATAATTGCGGCCGCTTTATTCTTTACAGGGGGCGGCATCTGTCAGATGTTTTTGTCCGTGCTCCATCAGGTAATTCCATAACAAACGAGCTGGCTTTGGATGAAAATGTACAGATCATCAATAAACCGTCTATTGAGTAATGAACGCACCGCTGCATGTGGAATAGGCACGAAGGAGGGGCATAAATCATCAAATGTACGGACAAAATTGTTAGAAAGACTCTCCGATTAGCGAGGGAAGGTGCAGTGAAATGTCCACTTTTTCAAGGTCCTACCAAGCGTTTAAGGGCCACTTCGTGTTCGAGTGACTTTTTTTTGTACATTTAATTTGGCGATGGGTCATGGTACGCTATATGCACTTTGGTCGTTAAATACCCAAGTTACCAAGTAACTGGAAAAGTTTTGAAGTATTTTCAAGTTCTTAACTGATACTCCAAACTGACCTTGGAATTTAGACTCTTTTGTTTAATTATCTTTAAGAAACAAACATTTCTCGCCTGCGGCTTGTGTTTTGATTAAGTTTTGAACTTTTGGAGTATTAAAAATATTTTTATTTTGGAAAGTGAAGGAAAATGAAGGAACATTTCCTAGTTTACAGTTGATTTTCGTTTCGTGTTGCCCGCGTTCCGTTCCTCAGCTATGCAATTGAAATGCTTAACAGTCGATCCAAAACAAGAAAGAATACAGGTAGTGAGCGATCTTTCAGTCTTATATATTACTGAATCAAGCATTCAGTAAGCTCAAGATCTTTGTTTGAAAATATCTTTTGTTAGTGTACTAAGAGCCATGTAAAAATCAGTGTTGCATATTTCTTTCACCAAACCCACCTAAAGGTTAGTTCAACAATAGGTAAATGGTGCATACAAACCTTTGTCTAAGGTAGACACAGTTGTAAACAAAGCGCATCTGACCTCATTTGCCTCAGTTAAAGGAGCAACCCTAGAGCGCATTTTGTAGAAAAAAACAAAGAAATTGTCCTTAAATTCTCGTCAGGAAAAGAAAACTCTCATACACCGAGTTTCATCGCGATTCGAAGCCATTCAATCAAAGGAAGGCCCTGAGTTCTTGTGACAATGAACATAACTAATCCATTTCCTAATTTCTTAATTAGCATGAATTATTTTCATGACGCTATAATCAATTATATGGCATCAGTAGAACAAAAGCCATTTTGTTTAATTTTCAAAAGTCGGTGCGCGGGGACTTGTGCACAGAACAGGAAATACAGTTTTGCAGTAGGAGATTCTCCAACGTCCCCAAGTAAAGCTTTTCCAGATGTCAAAACCTATTTCTTGCGGGGGAGGTTTCATGCATTTCTTAATAAAAAAAAAGTTAATTTCTTGGGTGAAAAGTTGGTCTCGTTTGTGCGCTGAAAACATTGTGCTAATTTTTAAAAATAATTCGAGAGCCGTTTGTAGATATTCCTTCCTCGGTGACGATTTTTCCTTTGAATCGACAAGGACGCACAAACAAAATGGCGAGAGTACCACCTCGGCCCAGCATGCGCGCGGCATTTTGATTTCGTCTTTTCACTATAAGAATCTGTACCGACTAGCACTGCATCGGATGCTCATTTTATACAGAGCACGTGCTATCATCAGGATCCAAACTAGCTTATGTTCTTTCATACATATCAGATCATAAAAGGAATATTGAATTTTATGATTATGTCAAGGGCTTCCGTTTTAGTTTAAACTATTTTTAGTTGCTTTGAAAGGCCGCAATAGAAGCAAAAAAATGTCTCTTAGAACTCCGAATATCAAAGATTCGAACACGTCAGATATTGGGAATTTTTTTTCATTTCACCTTTACCTTCGCTTATCTGCCTTATGCTAAGATGTGGAATTGTAACTGCGCAGAAAGGTGTTAATTTTCCACTTAACAGATTATCAGTCTCTGTTTTAATTTAATTCATTGAGAATGCCCGCCACAATTTGAGACATTTTCCACAAATATAATCCTAGAGTGTTCCAAGCAAGACAGGCTATCAGCGTATCTTAGGTGATAAAAAGCAGGAGAAGGCACTCCGATTTTCTGGAAACAATTCTTATCTTAGATAAACAGAAACAACTAGGTCAAGCAGTCAGTCAAAATTAATTTGAGAATAAGAACACTGTCGTATTATCTAACCTGGTATGATGCGAAGAATTTAATGCAGTATTCTCAAGATAGTTTTTAGGTCGACTTTTGAACTTACAGTAGTACGCTTTACTTGAATTCACTTATTGGACAGCACACGGGTGCTAGTTTGAGCGAATATATACATAAATAAGTCACAATTAAATAAAAAAATCATAAATATACTATACACTTACATGAATTAAAACTATTTAACAATTATTCGCCGAAGGCAAGGGGAATATTGTCGAATAATCCCTGAGACGAAGTCGAGGGGATTATTCGACAATATTCACCGAACCTGAGGCTAATAATTGTTTTAGTATAATTTCAAAGCTGAACAACAGAGAAATTTCTAAAATCATAACATTTTAGTAACATTTATTAACATTTTATTTTAACATTTTATATAAACCGCGGGGAGCGGTTTATATAGCGTCATATAAGGAACCGCTCGACCAATCAGATTTCTGGAAACTCTTTGCTCAGCTCTGAAATTATAGTAAAATGTATCTAAGTATAAAAAAAGATATTTATTTATGTAAAGATATTGCTATAAATTCTCAAGGTCGACGTGCCGTATGAATTTCGTAAAAGAGTGAAGATCAGGTTGAGTTCTCAAATTATCATCTAAGAAATTCCATATCTTGGGTCCAAAGTATGATGAAAAGTTTACTCTAGGTAAGGATAAAATATTAGATCCTCTAAGTTGATAATTTGTGTTACGAGTAGTAAATAACGTATGTGCACGATCCTTCGCAGTAAAGCACTATTTGAGCAATAGTGAAAATCAGACCTGAAAAAAATTTCAGGACTGTACGGGACTCGAACCACTGACCTCTGCGATACTAGTGCAGCGCTCTACCAATTGAGCTAACAAGCCAACTGGGAGCAGGCCATCAAATTAATTCGACATGAACCCGTAGATGATAAATCAAACAACAAGTAGTAGTAATAAATCAAACAACAAGTAGTAGTAAATAAGTCCTTAATATAGGATGGAGCAATATCATTCAATGCTTTATATATTAGTATAGAGATATTTTGGAGCCTATGATTGTAAAAAGTGTATTCTTTAGCCCTATTCAAGAGGTATTGAAAGACGTTTTCCTTATCCTGAAAAATACCTCGAAGAGCACGTTCATCGTAGTTTTTCAAGCTTATCTGAATCACTCTTTAGACAAAAGTGCCATACCGTAGAACAATATGTGATAAAATGAAAGAATCATACAACTGTAATTTAGCACCAAGTGGAATGAGACGTTTAAATCTATTAAAAACACTTATTTGTCGGCTGATTTTGCAGCAAAGTCCAGCTACATGCTCATAAAAGTTTAATTTTTCATTTATAGTTACACCCAGTAGCTTGTTCTAATTCGCTTGTTGGAGTTCCTGACCATCATAACTTGACAATATTCACCGATTTCTGAAAGTTATGACGCAAAATTCAATTTTCAAAAAACATGTTCAAGCTGAAGGTCATCACTTTGACAAGTACACAATCAGCCTGTGGCGATTACTTGCGTCATAAACCTAGTTTTACAGAACTTGCCTGGGATCGTGACGTCATTCGAATGATTGTCTTACGCCAAGGTCACAGAAGGAAGGCATCACGGGCCTATCCAACACGAACACGTTTTTGATGTAACTGAGCTCAGTTGTAAAGATTGAGTAACAACCGCTGAGGGTCGCGACATGATGTTAAATTGACATTGACTTTACTAATGTTTTGTACAGGATGTGCCACACTCAAGAGAAAATGCCAAACACATAGCTTGTGAACTTTGATTGAAAATCACTTCAGAATATGCACCTCCTGCGATTTTTCAAATGCACCGTATTACATTTCACCGGAAAGCTGCCAACAGAGCTGAATATTGCTTTATTTTTTTTTTGGTCAATTGAATTCTGGGCCTTGTGCCACACATAACGGATGTTTAAATCAGATAAAGCAGAAAATCAGAAATCCCGATCTCAAACAATAACGGACTGTAAAGAACGTTACCATGCAATCCTTACAACCACGTGACATCAATTAAGAAAACACTCACTAAAGGTATAGTTTCAACACAGGGGGGCCCAGACAAGCGACGAGTCTGGTTGTTCATTCGAAATATAAAGGAATGTATGGGAGAATATTGAAGAGTCTTATTATCGTAAACTTATATCATGAAATGTCTGAGTTAAAGCTCAAAATAAATGTAAACCTACCTCACTTGCTTTGTATTGTCGTTTCTGTGGCTCTAACTGGCGAACTTGAGCGATTTGGTGGGTTTTGCTATACGAGCGATTTGGTGGGTTTTGCTTCGACTGTTACTATACGTTATAAGGTATAGTAACAGTCGAAGCAAAACCCACCAAATCGCTCAAATTCGCCATTTAGAGCCACAGAAACGACAAAACAATGCAAGTGAGGTAGATTTACATTTATTTTGAGCTTTAACTCAGACATTTCATGATATAAGTTTACGATAATAAGTTCAAAATATATGAACTTCATATATTCATCGTATCTGATAATAAGACTCTTCAATATTCTCCCATACATTCCTTTATATTTCGAATGAACAACCAGACTCGTCGCTTATCTGAGCCCCCTGTGGTTTCAAGTGAAATTTTTGATCGTCAGGAAGAGAGGGTAAATTGCGACAATTTTTCAACAAAATTCACTTTTAACAGTTTCATGGTTTTAAGTAACATCGATCAAATTGTTTGAGAACAAAGAAATTGATAACAAAAAGATACACTGACAGGAGATGTAAAGAGTTATCAATTCAATGTCTCTCCTTGTCACACTGCCAAGTTGTTGTTGCTATTCCACGTGAAAAGAACGTGGAACGAAGTGGGATGTTGTCGGAAGATTATCCGCAAAGTTACTGTTTAATTTCCTCAGACTTCTCTGGAATGTTTTTCGTCTGAGTAAGGCAATAAGAAAAGAAACTGAATTTTCAGCGGCAGAGAAGCCGATTTTCTCGTCTCCTCATGCGACAGCTCAATCAAAAACCTTTTCAAAAGAAAAGATAAACATTTCGTGCTTTTAAAAATACTGACCTTACATATTTTCAAGATACGAAAATCACTGGGGTTTTCCTTTTTATGTTGATGCGATCTCTGACCGTATTAGAGTAGAATCTTGCTTTTGATTTGAGATTTAACTAATTTCGCACGCAAAGTCCGTGATCGAGTCCACTGGGCCCGGATGTCTAAAGTTGTTGAAAGAAACACTGTCACATCAGTTAATCCGCCGGTGGTTTAATCTATCGTGGTGACTAAATGCGCGGTCATCTAACGTCTTCCCTTCATGCATGCATTGTACCAATAACAAGCGCATTCACGAGTTTACTATCAGCCGCAAAATCAAAAGATGACTTTCTAGGGTGGCTCAGGAAAAGATGAAAAAGAGAATCTGGATTTAGATGCAAGTGTAGAATGTTGGAAAAACGCTGCGTACAAAGGAAACACGCAAAGATGTTTCCAAAGGCGTTAAGAAAGTGTGGGTGTTTAGGAAGAAAGGACATCTGACCCTTAACAATATTTTTCTTTTTCATTGTCCAAATAAACGGCGTAGAATAGATGAGAGCTCTCGACAAATCGTTTCGAGCTTAAACTCGCATAACTTTGTGACCGCTGACAGGCTTAGTATGTTTCTTTTTATTTTATAAAAATAACGATTTTTTTTCCCGGCGCGATTTCTTCCATCGATTTCTCCGACTCGTAACAAGGGCTTTCTACTTCTGTAGAAAAAGAAACTATAAAAATGGCGCGTTTAAGACTGGCCGACCGTTTAACTCTTGAGGGGGGGGGAGGGGTGGGTGATTTTTAAAAAACATTTCCTGCAAGAGCTTGTTGGAAGAAAAAAATTGCATGCAGCCCAAATGTAACAGAAAAAATGTAACAAAAACTCTGAAAAAAAATATCCTGCCTAGCAGATTGCCAGAAAAAAAATTTACTGCGGACCAGAAATCACCCACCCCCCTCTCAAAAGTTAAATGGTCGGCCCGGATGGAGACTTTTTCTAATAACCTGTAATCTTACAAATCCCTGAACAACGATGATTGTGCAATTTCGAAGACCATTTACAAGCTAAATACTCACGCGCGAAACTACAGTAGATCTCATTGGGTTTGTTTGCAATGTAAACACAGGCTGTCAAGAGTTTTCTTAACAGTAGAGCGCGGTGTATACATTATTCCTAAATTTGTGATCTTATATTTCTCGTTTCCCGCGACCTTCCGCTCCCTGAGGAACACAGTAGGACGTTAAAACAAATCAAGGATTTAGATTTTCGCGATTTTAAAATGACAACGGCTTCGAGATTGATGGCTTCATGTCGCTTTTGAGGATGTACAGTACATTGCCTGAAAAGGCATCAATGATTCCAGACTATGCTCTTTGGATTCGGACAGTCTGCCTTTTTTCAGTACGAACAAATTATTTGCTGACGAACAACAAATAAACGAAAATATAGTGTACATGCAGCTAATAATTTTTTGTCATATCTTTTCAAAGCAAACACGTACAAATCCTCAACCCAAACTTAAAGTTTTCCTTTAAACCAGAGCAGGAATTTAAGATGTTGTTTTCGAGCTATGTACGAAGTCACTTCAGTACATTTCAAACATAAAAAGGAAAATTCGTCCCCGCAAGATCTTGGCTAACGAACCCAAATTATATGCAATCATAATGCGACGTGCATTTTTACCTCGTATGACAACAACCCCGTAGGCATGATACCTGCTCAGAGAGATTTTAAAATGCGTCTTACGGTTGGACCAAAACAGAATACACCAGCATGAATCAATCCAAATTTATTTTAGAAATTTCTTCATCTTTTTAGCCCAACTTGAACAGCACTGCCTGTCGTGTAGAGTGTGCACACTCCACCTAATTTTTCATTCGCTCTGCACAATATTTATCCTCCACGGGGGATTAAAAAAATATATGAAACTCACCATTTAGGTTTTTCTCTGCTCTCAATCCAGTGAAAAGCCAACGTTTTTTCCTCAAACGGAGAGTTTGCCCAGACAGTCGTTTTAACTTCGCCTCCTTCGATCTAACTCCAGGAGCCATTTCTTGGAATCAAAGATGGTTGCAAGTTTACGCAGACTGGGTTCTGTGATTATCCAAAAGAAAAAGGTAAACTGTTACAGAATCTTGAAAGGACATCAAGTTTTAGAAGTTATTAAATTTTTTTATTTTGATCGTGCCGTTCCCCTTTTATTCGATATTTATACCAACCATGTTTTAAAAAATTGGCTCTCGACCTTTACCTCCGCGGTATCCATAACAAAACGCAATTTGTAGTGTTTACCATCTTTTATCACGTTACAGCAATTTCCATTGTTTTTATTCGGTCGTATTTAATCAGGAACAGAGAACGAATGGAATATTTTTTCGGTAATATAGCTAAGGAAATCGAGTTTATCGCCGTAATTGGATCGGATGGAAACCACTACTTCCGACAACTTGCAAGCACACATCACTTCACATCACGTAGGAAGTTCGTCGAGCTAAATTTAGAAGCAGCTAGGGGCTCACTTGAGCGTGATTTTCTAATACCTCCTTCTATACAATCATGAACACAAAAAAGAACGACTTCCCTTCAGGCGCGATCGAACCGTATTGCATGGACACTATTCGTGAATATCAAACGATTTCTGCATCAAAACGCCGCGAACACTCATCAAAAGTCACTTGTTTCGTAGCGAATTCAAACAAATGTTCTGCTCTTCATTTAAAACAGAGGGAATTTAAATCTAAACTGTATCAAACCAAGAGAAATCTACATTGGTCGCTGGATGGGCTTACCTCAGAATTTCCATGCAAAAGAAAACTCGGTTGAGTTACGCTGCGAAAGGTTTCTGTGGGAAGACCATGCAGCTCAATCGAAATCTAACCAAGCCTGCACTACACTCACTACACTGACATGCTAGGCTAGAGAGGCCGCACACCACAAAGTAAATTGATATCTACTTGCAGTTGCCTAATATCCGGGCCGGCCGGACGCGCGCTACACCGGGGTTATCGCACTTTCAAACGACCAATCCAGGCGTTGCAAGATCGATGCACATGATACAAAACAGCTGATCAACCAGTTTACAAAAAGTCTGGTAAAGTCGTGGAGTATGGCATTTGCAGCACGGATATTCATAAGCCGAATCAATAAGTTATTCCAAATTGAGGCTCTAACCAAAATTTGCATCTCTGAACAATAAGAGAGCTTTTTGTGATTATGTACAATTCTCTAGGGTCGAACGATTTTGAATTTACCCAATTAAAGAATTCATTATTTCAACTTTTGGGATTTGTTTTGTGTTAAAGAACTCTTTTTAAAAGGAAAATCAACAAAAGATGCATCAAAATGTTTTTATAACATGCTAGAAGGAGGTAAAAGGCTTCTGTCACGCGTCACACCATCTTGCTAGGTAAGTCCGGCTCAGCTTCTTCTCTGTGGAACAACTCCTCGTTCGATCCCGTACGAGGAGAACTGCACAAATTTCAGACAAAATTTCAAAATGGCGGACGAAGACGAGGAAGATTATATGTCCGACAAATTTTTGCTAAATACAGCGGATAACAACCCAGGTTTGATTCCAGATAAGATAGCAAAGAAGTATAAAAAAGAGATGAAACATCACGAGTTGAATCAGCGGAACAAAATAAAACCGATGAGAGAAAGGGAGATGGAACATCGTGAGCAAGGTCTCTCGAGTGCTTTAGACAGCAGTAATAAAGGGTTCGCTATGCTACAGAAAATGGGATTCAAACAAGGAATGGGCTTGGGAAAAGAAGGTACGTGAAAGAGTTTCTTGCAGAAAAACATTGCACCCATGTGCAAGGTGTACGAGTTTCAGAATACAAAGTTTGCTGCGAAATCTAAGTTTTTCGGTATTTTGTTGTGCGCATGCAGTATGCATGATTGTACAAGTAACTACCATATATTTTAAGGGTACGATGGGCAGTAGGCAGTGAAAATTTCATTTAGACTGGAGGATGTCAATTTTAATTTTTGTCTTATTGATTTTTTGCAGAATTTTAGGTGTTTTCAAACCAGGTTTAAATTTAAAACTAGATGCAAAACGTTTAATCTTTACTAAGAAAAAAATTACTGTTCACATTCAAAATTGACCACACTTATTGGAGGCCCCTAAGTAAAAAATGAAATTAACCCTTGAATAGGAATATTTAATTTCATGCATTCATGAGCATTTTCATTAATTCTATTAAATTGTGTAGAGGGGACTCCTGATAACCTGATTCTTTATGGGAGTGAGGTTTGTCAGTGGGAGTTTAAGGTTTGGAAGCTTGGATCAAATAAATGAAAATGAAGAGATAAGTATTGTTCACCCAATTTCCAATTGTGCTGGTAAATGTAAACAAATTTAATTACATTGTAGAGACATCAAGGAAAAAAAACATACTAAAGGAAGAGTTGGCAAAGCTTTTTGATGGTAAAGTGAAATGTTAAAAAGCAAAACCTGAACAGATCAGAAACAATTTGCCCTTTGCAAAAAAAAAAAAAAAAAAAAAAAAAGAAAGAAAATAAAATAAATAAAAAAGAAAGGAACAAAACAAGAAAAGAAAGTTAAAGAACTGATCTGAAAGTTTCTTCAAAGTAAATTCCAATGTTGGACTAAGGCACTTTTTTAACATGCTACAAGTCAGGGAGGCTGTGAGTTATGTGCATCTATATTTTGTGATGTTCAACTTAATATTCATGTTTGTAACTAATCACCTGTAACGGATATTGCCTGTCTACTTTTTATGCAAATCTCAAATGTGTATTTGATATATGCATTTTTTTCCTTTGTATAAGCTTCTTTGTGAGATTCTGGGTAGGTCTCTCTGCTAAATAATTTTTTCTAATGAAATACTTTTGTTATAAGTGGTGAACATGTTTTCTCTGTAACAATTGTGACTCTGCCAATAGTTTGTAGTTCTTCAGTCAAAAATACAAATGCTCAGACTTGAGAGCACCTCTGGGGTTTAAAGTTGTTATGACTGTGCAGTTTTGAAACAGTCTTATTAAATTGTCATCCATTGACATTTTTGCATTGTTTCACATCTGCCAATGTTTTTAAACTTGGTTACCTATTATGGCTCTGAAATACGGCTACACATACTTTGCATGTTTCTGACCATCCTACATTTGTAATCAATAAGAACTTGATTTGAAATGAGTGCAGTCTGCAGTGTAACATTCTTCCTCACTAGATGTTATTATTTTGTTAGAAAGCACTGACTCTCGTTCAAGTGTTCTGTGTACATACCATGTAATTAGTGTAGTCTGGCAGTTAAGCTTCTTAGTATCCACTTGATTGTTAGAAAGTCATGTAAAGTGAAGAAGCTGTGAGATCAAGAACTTCTATTTTGGTTTGATTCAGCTTGGATTGGAGGTGTAAACAGGGAGGGACATGGGAGGTGAGGCACAAAGGAGACTGGGATAATCTTGTTGAGACCAATCAGTAATGGACTAGCCTCAGTTCTGTCTCTTTCTCAGGGCTCTCCAAGGGGTTGGGGGAGGTGGGGATCAATGTATTGATAAAAGCTGTAAAGGGTGAGATGTGTTGGCTGAGTTGTGATCTTTTTGTTAACTGATATCTATAAACTGTAAACTGTCTTCTCTTTGGAAAAAAATTGCCATTTCCCTCAGTTTTATAATGTGTTCATTAGTGGAGAACTGTCATCATTATCAGGACTTTTTGCAGTAAAAAGACTTCATCAAATTAGATATTTCAGGTCTTTTCCTTTTTTGTATTTGTTTAACACGAGTTTGCAACAAAGTACACACAAATTGATGAGTTGCTTTTTTTGATGTGGGATACTGACACTCCGAATGTGCAATCTGTGGCTCTGCCAATTTGGTGTATTACTGCATCACAAAATTAAAATCAAGTGATCAGTTGAACATGTCATTTTAGTGTTTATATTTCATATCAATGAAAAATTTTGAACGTGCAATTCTGTTTTTACTACTTCTTTATTAAATTCTTTTGTTTCCTTCAGGGACAGGGAGAGCTGAACCAATACCTTTGACTATCAAAGCAGGTCTGTGTACAGTTTTAAAAAGTAATAGAATATGTTTTTTAATTTTCCCTCCCCAAGGAGATTTTGAAAAATAAACTGGCTTATCCCACTTCAGAGTCAAAGAAAAAACCCTCACTTTAGGGCTTAGCTCCACTGGAAGGTTTAGCCTGATCTCTTTAGCTTGAAAATGGCAGAATAATTTTATTGGTACCCCTAGAAACATCTTACATTTGCCATGCATCTACATGACCCCACAGGACCACTGGGAAAGAGAGAACTATTTCTAATAATTAAATGTTATATGAACCAAAATAGGGCTTTACTTAATTGTAAGAATGTGAATATTTCCTGGCCAGATGTCACATCTGGATGGAATGGCTTCATGCATCCACCCTAAAAATTGAAAAAGATCATTTATCTGGCATTTTATAGATCGCGGAGGCCTTGGGCGTGAAATGCTCTTGAAGAGACAGAGAGAGGTAAAGGAAGCTTTGAAACATGAAACGGCAAAGAAAAGAATGAAGACCGAGGAGAAGCAGAGGGACAGTTTTAGAAGGCACATGAGTGGCAAGTTTGCTGAGAGGCAAACATCAAGTGACTTGTATAAGAGCCAGAAAGCATGTGAACAATTAGATAAATCAAAGGTGAAGTGTTCTTGGGTTTTAAGAAGGTCACTAAAAGTATCTTTTTTGTCCATTAGTGGCCCAAACATATGGCCACATAGATACGAAGTGGCCAACTCTGGCTAAATAACTTCATGCATTTTACAGTTCATTGACATTAACTGAACAATGAATGGCTTCTCATGAAAGTGCATAAGTTTTTAACCTCCTAAATGATAGAAAATTTGACTTTCATATTATAAACAAGAAATCGCTTGTTTCCTTATAAAATTAAGAATTGCTATCACTTATGCTTTCAAAATTTGCAGAAATTGTGACAAGGGCAAGTTCTGCAACTTCTGAAAACACTGGTGATATTAATCCTTAATTTTACTCTGCCTATTGTGATTAGGTATGCTAATTAAATATCTAACAAAAAACCAAAAAATCAAAAATGTTTTGGTCATGCCCGATAAATGCTTTTATCACTGATGCATTAAGTTGTTTTTGTTGTTGTTGCTGTCAGTGTTTCTACCACCTTGGTCAAGACATTTAGTCTGAAAATATTTGAAAAATTATATTAGATCAGGAAATTTGAATGATAAATAAACTGGAGGCAGTAATTACACTTAGTGCTTTCCTTGTCACTAGGAATTGCCTTGTGTTGAGATGTGGTTTTGGCCAGAGGAGAAAACTAAGGAGGATGACGATGAGGAAGAAGACAAAGAAGAAGAAGATGACGAGGAAGAAGAACTGGAGGTTAGTTGTGCAGTAGAAAAAATTTTTTTTTGAAAACATTTCCTTGGTTCCTGCTTTCCAATTTTCTGTGATGGTCATGATTGTAAACATTTTAAAAAAAAGACACAGGAGGTTAGTTGTCCCGTAGAAAAACATTTTGGAAACTTTCTTTGGTTCCTGCTTTCCAATTTTCTGTGATGGTTAGTTGTAAACATTTTAGAACAACAGACCCAAATATGTCAAGGCTTGTATATCTTGTGCCAGAACTGTTACAGTACACTACAAAGGGGGTTGCTTTAATTTTTTTTTTTTTTTTTTCTGGGAAAATACTAACATTGGTCATGAAGTAGTAAACTAAATTCATATTAAAGAAATGTTTCTTGGACATTCTCAACAGCCATCAGAGAAGCTTGTGCACTTGACAATGTACTTGAGAAGAACTCATCAATACTGTATTTGGTGTGGAACCAAATATGATGGTAAGAACTACTGTCTATTAAACAGGCTGGGGACTGGGGAGAGGAGCTGTTGCAAGACACCTTAACGGGATGGCTCTCTCTCTTGCACATTCCATTCATACCCTTTTTCCTAGTCCAGCTTATGTTTTGGGGATGGATTGGAAGGGTGTAATTTGGCCAGGGGTTTTGTCAGAGGGATAGGAGGGTGGGTGGGTAGGTGTTAGCTTAGCTAGGGTCCTTCTGTTTTGCTCTTTTAGTCCACACTGCTCTGGTGTAGATTCATGCTGTTGAATTGCTAATGCTCCCAACGAGATATTGTGAACAATAGAGAAGGAAAGGATAAGAATGCGGAGAGAGAAACATGATGAGTTGACAAGCACCCCCTTCAAGGTAAAGTTTGCAACTAAGCAAGCTTGGCTGCACCCAAATTGGAGATTAACCCTTTTGCTATGACATGAAGGTTATTCTCTTTTGTTTTTCATAGTTACCCTCCCTCCTGGCCCATATTTTTATAAGTTTGTCTTTTGGACAGTTTAATAGATAGCACTGAATACTCCTCAGTTGTCTTGGGAGAACAGGGGCTCTGTGAGGACTAAGTATCTTACCAACAAAGATAAACCTTTTCCTTAGCTAGGGTTTGAACTGCCACCTCTTGGTTCATAATCTATCAAGCTTTATTGTGTTCGGCCATTGAATCTCCCTTCTTATTAAATAGAGGTTTAAAGATTTATCAGAACTGAAGATTTGGTTCTGTCCTCGTGTACCGGTTCACTAGAGGCAATACAAAAGGAAGATTTTGTCATCATAGTTTTTAACTCAATTAACCTGTGCCATCTCAGAGCTTAAGCAAAAAAAAAAAAAAAAGTCAATGAAAAAAAACTACATATCAAGATGTTGATAACAACCATCTTTCACTCACCCATGGTAAGGAACTGGTGGAGGAACCCCAATAGGTGGTAGGT